ACTCTTCGTGCTTTTGCAACCAGCTATTCCCCTGGCTGTTTCTGATCCAGACATCATAGCCAGTGTCGGTGAGGATGAAGCCCAGGCTGCTGTTGGGCAAGTTGGTAAGGCAGTTGCTTCCCTCCAACACCAGGCCATGCTGCAGGAGGTCTGTGGGCTTTGGAGCTGAAGAAAGGAGAGGAGGATCATTTTCTCTGACCACTAGCAAAACTGACTGTTCACATCCAGGTATTGCTTTGGCAGTAACCCCCTGGGGAAGTGACTCCAGTGCAGGGAGATGGTCACCTATGTCCTCAGCCTCTTTGGAGAGGTGTTTTTGAAGTAGGGTCTTTGGTTATCCCAGGGCAGAGAAAATCGATATAGTGAATCTGAAAAAAAAGTTTCAGCTCCACACTGAATAGAGCTCAGTAAGTCATGCTCCCAGGAAGAAAGAAACCAAGCCTCATGTCTGTCTGGACATTGACTGTGCTCTTTGCATGGAGACCACCCTCCTCATGGTGCTCAGGTACTCCGGCTCTGACCAGGAGACATCGAAAACCCAGCAGAGTCTAAGTACCTCCCACGGCATGGCAACACCATGATGCCCCATTGCAAGAGACATGGGTACTGGAGGGGTCAAGAGCATTCCTCCACCCACTTCTGCCCACTTTAAGCCATATGGGCAACTCTCAGCTCCCCAGAACAAACTTAAGATCTTTGTTACAAAGGACCAGGAATCCTGAAGTGCTTTAGGAAGAGAGTAGAAGAGAGATTAGGGAAAGGTTCAGTTTGGAAAGGACCTCTGGAGGTCTCTGCTCCAATACCCTGCTGAAAGCAGATCCAACTTCACAGCCACAACAGGGTCATCGCAAGGATATCTGAATTCATGCAGTAGGGCAGCCACACGTTGCAGCATGAAAAAGTTGAAATAGAAGTGACTTTCTTTTCTTTTCCTTTTTTTTCTCTTTTTTCCATTGGTTTTTAGACCCTCAATATAAGACTCACATTTCCACCCTGGACAGCTGAGGACAAAGTGTCCTGAATGGAAGGCTGACTTTTTACACTTATTTGCTATGTTCATACTCCAGTTCTCCTGCTTCCTAGAAGAGGGACAGCCTGCCAGGAATGGGGGATCACCCCCTCCACTTTGAAACAGTGGTTCAAGTGAAGATCAGAAAGGAGCCAAAATGGTGGATGGCATTGGATTGGACATGTGGGGGTTTTTGCTGACAAATGGCTTTTTGCTGCTCCACTGGCTGGCTTTGAGCTTAGGTAAAACCTGGGGCAAGATTTCTCTGTCCCATTCATTCTCCTTATCTTTTCCTTTCTCTTTGGAGCAGATCCTCTCAGAACAAGAAGGTCGGCATGGTGGGCACCTGCATTTCTTCTGCTCCTGAGGTTAATCCTACAGGGAAAGTTGTCTCTTTGAGGACCCAGCCCATGACAAGGCAGCCCTGACCATGACCTACTCCAGCCCAGCAAAGCTCTCAGGGTCCCTGGACCGGCAGGCCGACTTTCTCATGGCACTTACGGGGATAGAACATGCTGGAGCCCTGTGCCTCTGCTTCATGGGAGGTGCTCATGCTTCCTGGGTTGTCTCTACCGTGAGGAATCCTCTGCATGGTGAGATAATAGCTGTCGTCTCTCACCACTTCATGCTCCTCGTAGGGGTACCCATGGTAGCAGACAATTTCACCCTGTGGTAAGGGAAGGACAGCGTGGGACGGGTCCTCAGGGAGGTGAGGGTCTCCATCCCGGAGGGTATCAGGGAGACCGGCTGGGCGAAGCCAACAGTGGCTGCCCTGAGCTGGTGGTGGTGGTGACTCCTGCTGTCAGCAGGAGGGTGGAGTAGGGACCTCCCAATGTCCCTTCCACCAACGCTGAGGTGATGTCATGACTTCAGCTAAAATTTTTGGCAGGTGTGAGTTTTCCTTACTTCCTGAGCAGGTCTGGTAAAGAAAGACCCATTGTTGCTTTTCATGTTGCAATCAACGTTTGTGAAGAGCAGGGCAGCAATGACAGTGAAGTTCCAAGCCTGAGACAGCTGTGTTGACCAAAGCTGTTGACTTGGACCGAACTCCCCCATAAATGTCTGCCATAAATCTCTGTGTACGTAAGCACAGGGAGACAAAAACTCTAATAAAACCCTGGTACCAAATGCTGGTGAGGATACAGACATAGAGACTGGTCCTGTCCAGACTATGGCAGCATAGGTAGCTTCCATGCCCAAGCAGGAAAAGAAGGGAGAGAAATCAGGACTTACAACATCCATGGATGCCTTGGGGCTTGCATCTGACTTGTCACTGATGTACATTAAATAAGCAATGGTTACGAACAGCCACATCATGGTGCTCTGCAAAACATTGTCAACATGATCAGTGTGAGAGACATCATTGCTGGAACTGACACAGAAGGCAGGGATTGCACACATTTCACTTGGCCTGCACTACACTTCTGTTAGTATATGAACCTGACCTCCCAACAGGTGAAATAATTATAAATTTGAAATCATCTAATTGGTTCAAAAAATGGCCCATTTTCCTTATCTTGAATAATGCCAGAGTCCAAACTCCATCACGTTTTAATCACACATTCTCCATCAGATCCTTGTATTCAGAAAAATGCATGTGTATGTATACAGCTATACCCTCCTAGGCAAATCTGGTCTTTGAGGGGATGATTATAGACTATTCATTTAAAATGATGGCTTGGATGGTCAGAAGAATAGATTATTTGGTTAAACTGATAACTGAACTAATCAGGAGTAAACCACCCTATTTTAAGTTTCAGGACCATGGAGGTTTTGTTCTTAATATGAAATCAAATAATGTGATTTGGTTGGGCTCTCCTTATGGCTGAAAGAGACCTCGGGACACACTTGAGTTGTTTTTGCAAACCTAAGTGAAATACTATCCAAGGAGACCTGCTGTTCTTCCTGGGAGGGGTTTTGAAGTATATCTGCTTTGGCATGTTCCTGCCACAAACCCTCTTACTATCATTTTATTTTTTGGAGACAACAAATTTGCAACAGAAATACTGCCTCAGTTCTTGTATAACATGGTTAAATACTTAAATTGCATGGAGCTCACAGCAGGGAGCCCTGCCAAATCCCCTACGAATGCATGTGACTGTGCTGGGCAGCATGGGAAGCAGCGATCACGGCCAGATACCAGCGCCAGGTATCTTGCATCCACCCCATTGCTTCCCTGCAAAATATCTTCCTGGGAAAAGATAGGAGAACAACTAGCAGGTTTCTGTCATTTCCCAGCTAACCCTCATCGTCCCTTCTCTCTTCTGCTGGAAGCACTGGCTTCCCATGCTGCAGGAGGTGGTTTTGCAGCTGGGGAAAAGGCCACCTGCTCCCTCTGCTGTCTCTGGAGCAGATACATGGAATATCATGCAGACACTGCTGCTCTGCTGGAGTGAACCTCGGGACACCCCTTGTCCACCTTCCTGCTCACAGTGGGGTATCGGCAGCATGAGGTCGTGGTGGCTGTGGCTTGGCCCAGCAGAGCCCTGACTGCGCCCCCCTGAACAGTGACACCCCACCTCCCTTGGCTGCTCCCCACTCTGGGGGAAGAAGGGTTCCTCACCTCCACCCTGAACCCCCCCGGCTGTGATTTGGGGCCAGGAACCCCTCACTGCATTGCCTGTCACTGCCGACACCCCTGCTGTGCAGCGGGGCTCTCCTTCCCTGGGGAAGGGCGGTTGAGGGATCATTCCTGGGATGCTCCTGAGGAGCACATGGATCTCTGAGACACATGGGCAGAGGTGGGAGGCACAGCAAGGGCAGCAGCCACGTGCACTCAACACAGCCCTCCCGCAGCTGCCTGGCCCCAGAAGACTTTGGTCTCATTACTTTTAAGACTGAGCCTTTCAGAAAAGCAAGGAGAGACAGAAAGCATTTTTATGGTGTAACATCAATAGAATAGCATGCAAATTCAAGGGAAGAGCCTTGCCTGGGATGGCCTTTCCCTCCCAACAGCCAACCTGCAAAAATATTCCCTTTGTGAAGGGTTCCTCAGCTCAGCAGACCTTGAGAGCTCCTGGTGACCTCCAAGAGGTGCAGCAGGGTAGCAGGGAAGCTACTCTTCCACCAGTAGCATGGTCCTGACCCCCGAGTGTTTCCACCACCCCTCCTGCAAGAAGGAACGACATGAACGACTTTCCTTCAGACCCAGGACTCCCAGGGAAGCCCCACTGTCCCATCTGTGGGGCTCTTCAACTACCTACAGCTCTCTCCTGCTGTCCCCAGGGGTGACCCTTTGCTGGCAGCCTAAGCAAAGGCAGAGGCACCCAAGGAGGAAGGATTACCCATCACTGTCCAGGCGCTGCAACACAAGAGGCATGAGTGCCTTTCTTCCTGATGTCTGCCAAGCAGGAGGTCCCCACCGCCCGAGCATACTGCTCTTGTCCACCATGCATTGCCTCTGCTCCATGCATTCAGGAGTGTCACAGGTCGCCACTGCCTCTTCTAATCCTTCCTCCTGCAAACGTGTAATTTACCTGAGGGCTGGAGTCTGCTCTGAAAGGAGACACCCTTCCTACCCAGGCTCACTTGGGAATATTTTTGTGTCACTACAGAAGAGTTGAGAGCTGTAACAAACTGGTTATTTCCACTTGATGCAGCACAGCATCATCTGATGTCACCCGTCACCTCTGTGGACTGGAGGATGTACAACCTCTGGACCACTCTCTAGCTGCACTGGGGCTGCCTTTAGTGTATGGGGCTGGTGTTGGTGCATAGGGCCGATGTTGGTGCACGGGGCTGGTGTTGGTGCATGGGGCTGGCATTGGTGCAAGGGGCTGGTGTTGGCACATGGGGCTGGCTTTGGTGCACGGGGCTGGCATTGGTGCATGGGGCACAGCAGGGTGCGTGGGGCTGGCAGTGTTGCATGGGGCTGGTGTGGGTGCTCAGGATGCTGCAGGGTGAATGGGCCATGGGCCAGCCTAGCTCATCCCAGCAAGCTCCTGTGGGAAACCCATCCAGCTCTTGTTGGCTCTTCTCCCTGCCCCCTGGTGTGTAACAAGACACTGCCTGGAAGTGCAAAACCTCCAAGTCCCCCCAATAATGACTGTTGGGGGTGCTCTTTAAAAAATGAAAAAGAAATCCATCCCCAGGGAGGGAAGAAGCTGGGGATGAAGCTACCTTTTGCTCTCATTGGCCATGGGGTGCAGTTTTGGTGGAAGGATATGCCTTACTGAGCACAAAGGATGCCCATCTGGATCACAGCGAGAGGTAACTTTCTCTGCTGCGTGTCTATGCCCACCCAATTTTCAGTTACCTCCACCTGGTGAATTATCTCTGTGGGCACTTATCACAGCCCTCGTTGGTGTGTTTTGCCCATCCTGCACTTGTCCCACAGACTTTGCCTCTTCCTAGCTGGCAATGCCTTTGGCCAGCCACTGCCCAGTGGCTGAGGAGCTCCCTGCAGGGACAGAGAGGGGTGGCACGGGCTGTGGGTGTCATTTTTGGCAGCACTGCCTTTGAGGCCACCTCTCCGCTCCTTGCCAACATGCCCACGCGCTGGCACACTGCAGCGACCCAGTGCTGGCTTTGCACCCTGCAGGCTCCTGTCGCCTCTGCTGGTGTCAATACCTGCCAGGTCTGGCCAAGCCACGCTTGCTAAAATGCAAACATGCATTCTTTAGAAAGCCTAAATAATTCCACCTTGATTTGAAGCTGTAATGACTGGTCTTTACTAAAGACTAGCTGGAGGTAGTGTTAGAAGCCCTCCCAGCCTGGCTCACCCTTGCATGAGTGGTGACTCAGACCAGAGTCTGATTTTTCCCCTGCAAGGAGAGGAGGAGAGGTGGAAAAACAGAATCAAATATGCTGAGACAAGAAATCACCGCCTCTTCCTCCCAGCATATATAAAGGCCAAGATAACTTGCCTTCCTTTTGGGGACAGGACATCAGAGAGGATCCTGGTGGAGCTATGGCCACTCCTGGTCCTTGCATCAAGTCTGGGGCCACATTACTTCCCCTGTAACCTGAGTTTGATGGAGAGAGAGCAGAGCAGGAACTGAGCCTTCAGCAAGGTGTTCCCAGATATTTCCAGCATGCAGACCATGACACGGCTCTTGCTGTGGGATGGAGACTCTCCAGGGAGGATCCAGCACATCTGATGAGGTGTTGTGCACCACCAGGATGCAGATGTGCCCCTCGCCTCCTGCACCAGCCCCAGCCGGTATCTCACTATTGCCAGTGCTGCAGCCCCAGGGGTACTCCCTGCCTCTCCTGCAGCACGGAAAAAATTGGGCTGGGAGGCCCCCAGAATGACATCAATTCAGGGTGAATTACTGCATGGACTATTAAGGTATGAGAGAGTCAGGAAAAACAGCCACAATCAGATCTCAAAGCATCAGCATTTTCTTGCTGGCAGGCTTATCTGCCATCTGCTGAAAGGAGACCAGCCTGCAGCTGATGGGACATCTGGACTGCGTTGGCATCCCCAGCCGGGCAGAGGGTTGTATAAGGGGTCTATGTTGGGAAGCTGCAAGCTCAGCCCAACATCTGGCCCTGAACGGGGAAGGGCTGCAGCATGCAGTGCGTACCAAGGATCAGCTAACAAGGAAGATGCTGTAGGGGGCTTGCTAGGCTCAGCACCACAGCACAATCCAGGCTTCCAGGATTCAAAGTGAAGGTCATTACTGGAGAAGCAATGTATTTCTCTTATCTGTCTAGAAGCAATTAAAAAAATCCATGTACAAAATTGGGATAAAAATTAAGAATTCTGAGCTTAAAAAACAAGCTTATTCCATAGGTTTTAAAAGTTATTTTATTTTCCTCTTGTAACAACAGACACCCACTGAAGGGGGGAGAGAGAGGAAGGGATTACTTGAAAGCAACTGCAAGGTGAACCATTGGACTGCTTGCTCATCGGGGCTGCTGTTAGTACTGGATCCCAACAGGACTGGTGTGAACACAGTGTGAGTCACGGGAGTGAACATCCACCACGTATGGGTTTTATCTGCCCGTAGTGCCACGGGATGCAGTTTCTGTCTGGCTGTGAGCCAGTGAACCAGAGCACTTGGCGTTCAAGGAAATGTGAAAATGTTGCTGACTACCAGCCTGCATGACAGCACAGAACGAGGGACCTTTGGACTTGCTTCATTTTTGAAATGGATTTTTCAGAGATTTTAACATCTGTACATTTTGAATTTTCTTAGATTTTTTCAAGTTTTTGAAAGTTTTTGCTGCCTTTTGAAACTGTTTGGAATGCAATTTTTTGAAAGATACATGACCTTTGGGGACACACCTATAGACAGATTCAATTTTTTTTCATAAAAGCCAGGTCACATCGGATGCTGGAGCAGTGCAATTGCAATGGATGCCGGAGCAGT